TTCGTTTTTTATTATTAACGGTCACAATTTTAAGTATAAGCCCAAAAATTTGCATGCGGCGGTTTTCGAGGATGAGAGATAAGATGGTGTAATCAGTTTGGCGATAACTTGCAGATGGCGCCACCTGTACACACTTTTTGCAAAAATACCATCACATTTTTTTTGTATATTCTCAAATTTAGTTTCTGATAAGACGGGGTAATTTTTTGATATTTTCTAAGTAAAAAAGGTAATATTGTTCAATATCTGTATTTCAAGCAGTTTTCAAGATATTTAGATTTTTTACCTAGCAATGCAATCCAATGCGTTTTTTGCCAATGCATTTGTACTCCCTTTTAGTGTCCGGCAAGTGTCATTTTACTACATCAGGTTTGTTTCCTATGGCTGCGAATACATTTTGGGGATACTGCACAGCTTTTGGAGCAACCGAATTTTTTGAAGATATGAATTTTGGCGTTTGTCAATTATGACGGTCATGTCAGGTGAACGTATTCATGTTATTTTGCAAAGATGTAATTATAATGGTCCTGCTGCCCTTTGTTCAGGAAGATGTTTCGTAACATTTATGACAGACAGAATCTTTTCGTCAAACAGAGCACAAAGGAGGACGTCCAAGAAATAATGCACTAGATCCACAAACAAGTAGTCGTTGGTTTAGTGGTGCTGCTATCATTTCACAAGAGTCCTTGTTCGAATCCTGCAAAATGAAGATCCTAGTTTTCTTATTAAAATATTATTTACTGATTATTTTTACTTTTAGAGGTAACTTTTAATTTTCATAACAGGAATTAGAAATTTCTCGAATCCTGCAAAATGAAGATCCTAGTTTTCTTATTAAAATATTATTTACTGATTATTTTTACTTTTAGAGGTAACTTTTAATTTTCATAACAGGAATTAGAAATTTCTCATTTGATATGGGAAAGACACTTGAAGCATGAGTATGAGATCAATGTGTGGGCAGGCACAGTAAACAATTATGTACTAGGACTATTTGAATTACGTTCTAATCTTGATGTAGCGACGTTTTTACATTTTTTACAACACGACGTCATAGATGACATCATAGATAGAAATGACATGACACCTTTGTTTGACAAGGGACCACCTCTTCTTGCCCTAATTTTTAAGAATTTGTTTTAATGTAAAAAAAGAAGTCTGCTTCTTGAATAGCCGGCACGTAGTGCGGATTTTGATCCAGAGGACTTTCGTTTTTGTTACTATATTAAATCAGTGGTATACAAAGCAGTCGTGAAGAACTTTGATTTTTTGTGATAATTATTCAATTAGTTAATTAAATAAAATTGGATTTGATTACAAGTATGTCTAACAAAATTTTCCTCATTTTGGTTTTTCATTCGTGATAGTAATAGAAAATACAATATGTCGTTTTTTTTGTTCTTAAAAGTCTTATTTAAAAGTAATATTTCCAATAATAAATTAATTGTCGCCTATTAATTGGTCAACATATAGTTACACAGCGAGTTAAAAATGTAAATATCTTGAAAACAGTTTAAAATGCTGATGTCGCAGATATCAAATTGGAGAACGTGTTAAAAAAATATGATGGTATTTTCGCAAACAAATGTGTGCGGGTGTCGCCATCTTGCGACACCACATGCGAATTTTTGCGTCTATATTCCTAAAATTGTAAAGGCAAGTAACATCACCCAGTATCTCTGTATTGTAATTGCACATATTTTTAAAGAAAACTGACAATTTTTTAGCCAAATTCACAGATTCTCCATGTTGTGGCGGATGCGCTCGCGAGGGACATTTTCTAAGATACGGGATACAAGATGCCAGATTTTATTAACTACGTTTGACAATAACGTAATTGTAGCTAGTCAAAAAAAGGTACAATATAAATTAGATAAGTAGATAGGTACATTTAAATACAGAGATAAAGTATGAAAAATAAAAAACCAAATAAGAACTTCTCCTGTTATCGTCAGGTCAAAGGTGAAATCCAAATCGAAAAGTGCAAGGTCAGATGCAATATTGGTTGGTATCAGACCACGGAATATGAAGAGAGTATGATAAAACATTAGCTCTGAGTCAACCACTAGTTAAACCGTGGTTACATCAATTACCACCCTAACCCTTTCGCTAGAATGAATATTGATGATTATATTAATCAGATCGTCTTATAAAAATACCTCTGCTCGGCTTCAAGAGACATACGACATGAGTTGAAAACTCGACTCCACGTAAGACATGACTTTTTATTTTGTGTATTTCTGATTTTAGATGTAGAACTGGTAAGAAATTTCGATGTGATTAACATTTCCATGGATAACCAAGTAGTATTATTAAAATAAAAAAAAAACATTTATTATTTATTTTGTAGGAATGAAAAATAAAGTTTTTTTCTCCTTTCAACGTTATATACCATGCGTGTTGAGACACTATCGAAAGTTGCATTTTTCAAAATGAACCGAATCTATCATATTTGCCTAAGTATCATTTAACCCAGTTTCTATAAGCGTTCTGGCGCGTACATTTTTGAGTTAAAATTGAAAAACGATTTATTGCCTGTCGAAACGTACCAAATTTGCGCATCATTTTCGTGCAACAAAACGAGACGGCAACACCGTGTTGTTCGCCGAACCGCGAACTTCGTTGACGTTTTCTATTTGGTTGTTGTGCAGCCCTACGACAACCGGGATAAAAATTATCGACGGTGCAGAATAAAATATGGAAAAGTTCGAGATGAAATTCTTGGCTCGAGGTGTAATTTAAAACAGCTTTGGATGGACCGAAGGAAATGGAACCGTCGCCATCCCGATACTCGATCTGCTTGACATCATCGAAACATTAATAGAGAAGGAAAGAATTGCATTGATGAAACGAATAATAACAATACAGGTATCATAAATTTAATTGCATTTTCAACAGTACCTGACGGTACGTTGGATCCTACCGACTGAGCCAGTTAAATTCGAGCAACGATGAAATGATATTTAGCCGAATTGATTTTGTTTGGGACAGCGAAAGTTAGACAAGAAGACAAGAAGTTAGATTCGGATTAGGATTCGGATTTGCGAATATTACAATGGACCAGTTCGTTATTTACCTTAATTAAAAAAACTTATTAATTAACCACGAAAATATTGTAAGGGAACAACTCGCAAAAAATCTAACGCTCTCCAAGAGATTTAATCAGACAATTGAAAAACCACTTAGGAGAGCTTCAAAATAATGTAATTATTCAACCACCTTGAAACAGTCGGGAAGATATAAAACTACACCAATTATGAAATACCCAAAAGTTGTTTATATTTTTTAGCAATCTCAAAAAAATCAGACTAGACTGTTGAAAAGCCACTTTATAGAGCTTCAAAATGATGTATTACTCAACCACCTCGAAATCGTCGGAAAGATATCAAACTACCCTAATAATGAAATACCCAAATATTCGTCATATTTATTTCACAATCTCAGAAAAATCTGACGTTGTCCCAGACAGCTCTCAGAACGATTTTAATTTTAAAAACACAAACTGCAAGAATCAGAAATGCTTCAAATTTCCACAGAAAAATCTAATTGTCATAATATGAAACATAAACAATTCCACTGTTTATTCCAAAATTAACAAAGCAGCTCAACGCATTGAAAAGGTTGGCCACCACGGAATTAGACCATTAAAGAGCCACTTAGGAGCGCTTCAAAATGATGTGTCCTTGGAACCATCGGGAATATATAAAACTACTCCAATTATGAGATGCCCTAACATTCATTTTAAAATGGTTGTCATATTTAAAAAGGTGTATATGCCTGTCTTTTTTTGATTTTGAATTATTTGAAAAAAATGTCGAATATTAACGTTCCCTATACTGGAAATATTTTATAATGAAATTTTAATTAACGGCCTAATAAATATACAAATGAAAAGTACGAATACAATTAAGAAAGTCTCCTCAATATAGCGAGCATCCATGATAGATGGATGTGTCTTTGGGGGTAAATTTCGAGTCAGAAACCAAATCTCTACTTTGATAATGGCGAATTATACGGTATTATTGGGGGTAGTTTTAAATCTTTCCGACCGTTTCAAGGTGGTTGAGTTAAATATCATTTTGAAGCTCTCCTAAGCGACTCTTTAATAGTCTAATGGAATATCTGGGACGTCAGATTTTTTTGCAACAGCGAAATAAATATTTCGAACTTTTGGGTATTTCATTATTGGGGGTAGTTTTATATATTCCTGACTGTTTCAAGGTGGTTGAGTAATACACCATTTCAAAGCTCTCCTAAGGGTCTCTTCAGTGGTCTAACTCAATATCTGGGACAACCTCAATTTTTTTTGCGATTGCGAAATAAATATTTCTAACTTTTGGGTATTTCATTATTGGGGGTAGTTTAATATATTCCTGACTGTTTTAAGGTGGTTGAGTAATACACCATTTCAAAGCTCTCTTAAGGGTCTCTTCAGTGGTCTAACTCAATATCTGGGAAAACCTCAAATTTTTTTGCGATTGCGAAATAAATATTTCGAACTTTTGGGTATTTCATTATTGGAGGTAGTTTTATATATTCCCAACCGTTTCAAGGTGGTTGAGTAATACATCATTTTAGAGCTCTCGTAAGTGGCTCTTCAGTGGTCTAACTCAATATCTGGGACAACGTCTGATTTTCTTGAGAATGCGAAATAAGTATGACGAATATTTGGGTATTTCATAATATTCAGGACGAGGTATTGAGTAATACATCATTTTGAAGCTCTCCTAAGTGGTCTGGTTGAATCTCTGGGTTAACGTAAGATTTTTCGAGATTGCGAAATATTAATTAAATTATTATTTGGGGTTTTGCTAGTGGAAAAGGGGTTATTTTCTGTATAGCAATATTGGATATGGTTTTTGGCTATTGGCTACTTTCCCGGCATGTCCAAAGGAATATGTTTTTTTAATTAAGATAAGTAACGAACTGGTCCACTGTAATATTTTCAAATCCGCAGGAAAGCAGGAAAATAAAAGAAACTAAAAAAAGCATAGACGTACCGGTACAGTACAGCGGCTCGTCGGACATGTCACCGCAGTCGTCGTTACCGTCGCAGTATCCGTTGAGGCGGATGCAGCGGCCGTTCCTGCAAGGGAACTCGCTAATCCTGCAAGCCGGACCGGCGATGGCTTCTTGGAGCGCACCAAGCAGGATTATCGCGGCCCACGACCACAGCAACATCCTGCAAGGAGCAGATAAAATTTTAATTGGGCTCGGCGAAAGGTTAACGACTTGGGATGGGCGGCAGCGGTGGGCGGGGGATGGGGGATTATTTTTCGGGTAAACAAATTTCGATTACTTCGACGCTGGCGGCGCGACGGTCGTCGGATATATATCGCGTCGTCGTCGGATTTGCCTGGTTCATTTTTCAGACCCGCCGGGAAGAAAACGTAATTCAGAGCGCACGCCGCCGCGTGGCGGCGCTCGGGGGGCGGTTTTCTTCGCGATCCGCCACTCACCGTAATTAAATTTGAGACGAAAAAGACCCGCGCGCGTCTCGTATACAGGATGTCTGCAAACGGGATGTCCTCGCATAAAAACTTCCAACTATCGCGAAAGATTTGGAAAATATTAATATATATAATTTCTATCTACAGCTTGCCCAGTTTCATAATGTTTTCTTTTACTATCCCCTTGGATAGAGTTATTTTGCATCTCGGAAATAGCAATGGGAACATCACTTTGCCGAAGATAGGGAGGAGTTTCTTTACCTCACTGTTATTGATTTTTAGTCCGTTGTTAGTGAAGATAGAGCCTTGCGTTTTCGCAAACTTTTGGTACTTTTTTGTGACACGACAGATGACGTTAACAAAATTTCGTGCTTACTTTTTAAAATACAGGGTGATTTTGGAAATTTGAGGTTTTGCGGCACCCTTCGCATGTCGAGAATCCGATAAAATGGCAGTTTTTTTCGTCTTCGTCTTCTTGAAAAAAAAGTTTTAATCGAACACCTTATATCTTACAGACCAGTTTGGTTCCGTTTGGTATATAATAGAATGGGGTTCTTTGTACAAATATCTTCACAATTTTTTTTTTCAATTTTTATGAAGATATTTGTGGTAGACCTTGGAAAAAGCGAATTATTAAATATATAAAATAGTTACCTAATTTATTCCTGACAATAACGTTTATAATTTACATAAAGCCAACTTAGTTTAATATTAACAGTTTATCTGTAACATTTCAATCATTTCTTTAATATTTAATAAACTCTCAAGGCAAGGAAATTTGAAAAAATCTTCATAATTTTTTTTAATCGTAAATAATATTTTGTCACTGTAAGATTTTTATTTATTCATTTTTTAACACAATCTGTTCAACAACTTCATGTTTGACGCTAACTAAGAGTAAATACTAGGTAAAATGACCGACATTCAGCGCTATTGGGAAACTTGGCAACATAGAATACTTTCTCCCTGTTTCATTTCTACGCCCCGATTTCAGGAGTAGGGGGTTTTTGATTCCCACAGAAATTTTTAGGAAATTCGCATTTTAAAATATTCCAGTGGGTAATATTTTTCAGTATTTCAATAATAGCGGCTGATTCTTGCTACTATGGCAACGTCACGCATTTTGATTTATTTGTCCTGGGCGCTGTCAGTAAATTGTAAAATACGGGGGTCGTTTCAACGGGGTAGTCAATAAATCGTCTTCAACAGTTAAAAATTATTTTTTGCAAATTTCCAAAAAAAAAACTTACAAAAGATACTTCTAAAATAAAGTGGGGAAAACAAATAATAATAATAAAGTAAATTTTAATAATTTTTATGACTTTCGCATCCTTGTTTGAAATAAAAAAATACCGAATTTGTTAATATACGTGTTAAATAAAGAAGTAACTTTTGGTTTGATATTTAAAACACTTCATTGGAAGTTCTTGTATTTGACAAATATCAAGTGACGCCCTTTCTTTTGATTTTAGATTCACTTCGATATCTTTATTTTTCAGTAGATACGATTTCTTTAACAACATGAATGATCGACATTATATGTTTGACGGCATCGACCCATTTTTCTCTATATGCGAGCAACCGCATATTTCCATATGGCCGCCTACGGTGTCGATCGTCTCGTAATTGCGGATAAAAAGTCGAAGATGCCGCTCTCAGGTTAAGCTAAGACACCCACCCCACCCTCGTCTTTTTAGAGAAACTCCGGTTACAAAACGACGGAGGCTCTCCTTTGTTTCCGTTTTATTTTTATTTTCGGGGGCAATATTGCCCCGGCTCTCGAATAAAAACAGACAAAACGAGACAAAAAGGAGCCGACGGGAAAAACGTACAAACAACGTTCCGGCCCGGGGGGGCGGCCGGGGGCAAAACCATTTTCCCGACTCCGAAAAGTAACTGTTTTCACGTCAGTTAAAACCGACGTGAAATATTTGCAGGTCCGCCACATTTATTTGGCTCTCGGCCTCCTCCCCGCACACCCCACGGCGTTTAGTCAATTAATACCAACGCTGCGGTTGTAAACGGGGCTCGCGGCAATTTGGGGCCCCCGTAATTCTTAACGAGCGGCTGCTTTGCGCCACCGGTGAAAAATACGCTGCAATGATCGCGATCAAAGTTGGCGCAAAAAGTAAACAACAAGCAGCGGAAAATTATATTGAATATTAAGCTAACATAGGTTGGAGGCTAACAAAAACCGAATTGGAGTGAAGTTGGGGTAGTTTTTGTCACGTGAGTATGCTCGAACGCCTCCGGACTTTTACAGCAGAATATCAAACGTAAATATAAAGCAGTCGTTTTTGCATTTTTTTTTTGAAGCTCCCGAACAGAACTAGTTTCATGTTTCATCGTTTTTAATTAATAATGAATAGTAACTTAGTATTTGTGCCTCTGAGGGGCGAACATAATGAAAATATCAATGAAATTGAAAAGTAGTCCAATCCCTCTCTCTCCTTTCTCCTTACATAAATTTACCCATATTTAAAAGATTAATTGACCCTAAAGAGCTTTGTTGAAGTTTACATGTCAACAAAAATATAAAAGTTTTAAAAATCGTAATACAATTGTTCCTTCCGTCCGTAACTACCAAATGCAGAAGGAGTCACTGTACTTACGTCAAAAAGTCAAACGAAGAGAGTCTGTCCGGAGTGTCACGCAGTACATCATAACTAAATCCCAGATTGAGTATGACTGAATTTCGTCTGTAATACTTGACTTATGAGGTCCTGCTATTATTATTCTTGTCGCAAAACTTGAAATAGTTTTATTTATGTACATTAAAACATTTACCACTAAATGAATATACTAATATATTATTACATCACTTAAATTCGCCATTGACTGAGAAGCTCCAAACCAAAAACAAAAAGCATCAAACTAAATCAACACAAATCTGTACATGTAGATGTCACATAAACGTCATCCCTATTGGATCCAACGTTGCGGATTCAGCAGAACGCTTGGGTATGAATGTAGACCCAAAACTTCACTGGAAAGTCCATGTGAAAAAAAGAGCTTATGTGATCTACATCGGGACCTGCAAACGGACTCAGTTAATCAGACCATCACCAAAGTCATCAGCAAAAACTTCTCCAACATGTCACCATCGAGGCAATCTCAGAAGACTCAAGATCACAAAAGCCTTTGAGTTACTATAGTGACAATAAAAAGCGATAGTTACAGGTTAGTTTTATTAGTGTAATTTAAGATATCAGAAACTAAGGTAGGTTAGATCAAATTTATTATCAGAAAATATTACACTGAGCGACAAGACTTATAAGAAGAAGAAGGGGAAGAAGAAACAGTTTTTCGAATGGAATTTCTGGAATGCGAGTGTAGCGTACGGACACCAATCAGCAAATATTGAACGCCATAGTTATGTACAATGATTTCCACGTAATAAGCATAGGACACCGCGAGATCTGCGATGTCAGCATTTTGCCACGATATATGAAGAGACCTTAAGATTCACATTGTCAGCTTTTCGGATGCGAACCTATAAAGTTTTAGAATTAAGCAATATGAAAGGATTCTTAATTTTCGATTGTATTTTTGAAAATAAAGTTTTTAAAAAGTCGTCTCGTCCTCGCTTGAACATAATTGGCGCAGTCGGTAGGATGAATGCACAATTCAATTGCTTGAAAATCAGCCTATAGGCAACTGTCGAAAACACCACATCGAACTATTACAACCTCTTGCAGAGCAAGTAACGTAAGCAAAAGTACGTATTTCACCTCTCGAAAATACATTGCTCTTTGCTAAGTGTAAAATCGATCAATACTTTAAGATCGATATTCCAGCACTTATAGAAATTCCCGCTGCTTGCCAAATTACCTTGGGTAAGACAAGTTATTACAACGATGGCATAATTATGAAATGAAAGCTTTTGCTTTTACCTGAAGTCTATTTAGAAGAATTGAAACCAATTACGTCACACAGATTAGCGAACATCAGTCAAATTAGGTTGCTAGCTATATCAATTAAAACAGATAGCAAATGAACTGTAATCGATTGAAGAAATTGTTTAGTTTTAAGTAATTTGAAAGGATTCATGTACCTGTTGCTGCAGAAACTCTTAATTTTCGATTGTATTTTTGAAAATAAAGTTTTTAAAAAGTCATCTCGTCCTGACTTGAACATAATTCCATGGTTATATGGTTATAGTATATTATGCAACAAGTGCGGTGAACGGCATTTGACTCACGAGTTTATTTAACACGAGCGGAACGCAGCGGAGCGAGTTTTTAATAAACGAGTGAGTTAAAATTTTACCGAACATGTTGCATACTATACTTTTTCTACGAGCGTTAGTTTTTGGGTACATTTTCACAAAACAACACGAACACATTCACTGACATGACCGTCAGACTTGACAAACGTCAAAATTTCATAAAGCATGGGAAATATCTACCAAAACATCAGATTGCTCCCAAATCCGTGTGGTAAAATCCCGGAAATATCCGAAGTGGCTCGGATTCATGGGAAAGGAAACTGACGTGGCAAAGTGACGCTTCCCGCACGCTAGATCGGTGGGTAATTAGGTATTTTACAGACGGGAGTAGAAAAAAATATTATCTGCGCAAGAGGCCTGAAATGCTTCCATCCAAAACTTAAATTTTGTAGAAAGAAAGTATGTTACTAGAAAAACGACCAAGCCTGATCGGACATGACTAAAACGTTCGGTGGGTATAGCATAGTATAGAACTATGGGGCTTCTTCAGGACCAACACGGCAA